GGAAAACAAAGAACACACTTACCTCTGATCTTCCTCATAGATCTTCCACACTATTTCGTCCACCATGAGTTTTTCTTTAAGAAACTCCTCATAGGCTTCCTGTCTCTTGCAGTCTTTCTCCTCAAGCTGCCGCTCAAGTTCTTGCTGGTAACGCACTACCTCCTCATACTTCTTCTGCTCCTGCTTCTCTTTCTCCAGCTCTGCAAGCTCATGCTCGTCCTTCATCTTACGGGCAACAGCAATCTCTTGTCGCTGATAAGATGTAAACTCACAATAAGCAAAACCACAAAATAAGAACCCAAATGTAAGACACACATTTGCAGATCACACCGTTACCATTGTCTCATATCGCATGGATTCCTTTTCTGCCATCTGTGCTGCCCGTTCTCTGTTCAGGTATGCAGACTTGAGCTTTAACTCTAGCTCTCGAAGCTCAATGCTGCCAATAAAACACAGAGCTTAATAAATGGTAAACCTATAAAAACATTGTGCAGTGCTATATACAGGTGCATCTCTCAAAAAATTTGAATATCATGAAAAGTTCTTTATTTTTTTGTAATTTAATTCTAAAAAGCAAACTTTCTTATATTCTAGATGCATTGCACACAAACTGAAATATTTCAAGAGTTTTGTTTTTTAATTCTGATGGTTACGACTTACAGCTTAGGAAAATTTAAAATTCAGTATCTCAAAAAATTTGAATATTTTCTCAAAGATCAATCAAAAAAAGATTTACAAATATAGCGGCCTTCAGCTCGTCTGTATTGTTTGGTCGGATGTTACTCATCTTCCTCTTGACAAAACCCCATAGATTCTCTATGGGATTCAGGTCAGGCGAGTTGGCTGACCAATCAAGAACAGTAATATCATGGTCAGCAAACCAGTTAGAAGAAGTGGCTTTGGCACTGTGGGCAGGTGCTAAGTCCTGCTGGAAAAGGAAATCCGCATCTCCATAAAGCTTGCCAGCAGAAGGAAGCATGAAGTACTCTAAAATCTCCTGGTAGATGGCTGCATTGACTTTGGACTTGATAAAACACAATGGACCCACACCAGCAGATGACATGACACCCCAAATCATCACTGTCATTCGGAAATTTCACACTGGAATTCAAGCAACTTGGATTCTGTGCCTCTCCACTTTTCCTTCAGACTCTGGGACCTTGATTTCCAAATGAAATGCAACGAATGTCCTTTCATCTGAAAAGAGGACTGTGGACCACTGAGCAACAGTCCAGTTGTTTTTCTCCTTAGCCCAGGTAAGATGCTTCTGACGTTGTTTCTGGTTCAGGAGTGGCTTGGTTCTAGGAATGTGACAGCTGTAGCCAATTTCCTGAAGACACCTGTGTGTGGTGGCTCTTGATGCGCTGACTCCGGCTTCAGTCCACTCCTTGTGAAGCTCTCCCAAGTTCTTGAATCGGCTTTTCCTGACAATCTTCCCAAGGCTGCGGTCATCCCTGTTGCTTGTGCACCTTTTCCTACCAGTCAACTTACGGGGGGGGGGCGGCAGATTTTTTTATAGGTTTAAAGGGGGGCGCGACCAAAAAAGTTTGAAAACCACTGTATTAATATATTTCGATACAGCACTCTGTGAACAGCCAGCCCTTTCAGCGACGAGGGTGTCGATGATCGTCTTCTGGACAACTGTCAAGTCAGTAGTCTTCCCCATAATTGTGGTTGCATGTTCTAAACTAGGCCAGGAGGTACCCAGTATTTATACTCAAAATTAATCAAACTAATCAAGTTCAAAATGAAATAAAATTTTTTGAGATACTGAATTTTTTAATTTCCTAAGTCATAACCATAAGAATTAAAACAAAAAAACTCTTGAAATATTTCAGTTTGTGTGCA